TCGTATTGGAAACGTGATGACCGTAATTGAGATAATTTAATAACAAACACACCCAGCCGTGCTTCGAACTTTACTTTGGGATCTTTCAGAACTTCGATGTAGTGCCTGTGTGAGGTTTATATTATATATCGGGAAGCAAAATCCCTCCTGAAAAATTTTTCAAGACGGTCATTATCTCTGCTACAGCTTCGTAATTTCCAACGTTAAACGTCTTGGCAAACTAACACTCAGATGGAATGATTCCGCCAATAATCTGCCGAGAAGTGGAATTTCTTACGGACGAGAAACCCCCGTACTAATTTCTAATATAATTTCTATTACGCAAGGCATGTTGCGAGACAACATTAATAATAATAATAAGTCACGACGTCTATTTCTTTTACTGAAAATTAAATTTTATCTCACGTCGAAGACGTCGTGGGGTCTGTTATGGAACGTCAAGAGTTTTAGGATATATCACGTATGTATCTCCCATCGAGGGCGTGGGAAGGAGCGATTAGGCGCTTCGGGCGCGAGGAAACGTAATTATCCGATATTTTGCATTACTCGCGCGCTTGCATTAATTGGCGCAAATTTACAAACGCGCCTTTTCCTGCGCCGTTTCGAATAATAGGAAGATACGATAAGGAAGTCTCGCCGTCGATGTTGTCGATGAGAGACCCCGGTGGGAAAAAATGCGGCCGGGCGTGTTGCCGCTCGGGCGATGTTGCGTCAAGCCGATTCGTCGTAATCCGGCACAAAAGCCCGAGCCTGCAGCCTGTAACTGACGGCGGGTCTTAATGCCCGTCACGCCGCGCGAGGCAAGAGTACGAGCCGCCGAGTTAAGGCAAGTTCACGAGCGCAAGTTGCGCATCCTCGACATACTGCCGAGTGAAAGTGCCGCCTGGCTCTCGCGGTTTCTTCTTCCTCGTCTTCTGACTTCCACCGCGCGCACCGCCAACGGTGTTATTGCAAGCCGGATCAACGTGACGAGTTCTCTCACGCTATTTCCCCGCGCGGATCGCGCGTGGCGTGAAACGCGTGGGCTTCTCGTCTCTTCGATCTTAACGAGACAAGCTCCTCCTCGGTGTCACTGTCACATTCGCTATTGCTCCTCCACTCGACCTATATATTTTCGCGAAAGGATTTGGCTTTGAGGCAAACCTCAAATTTGATCGGACGCGAGCTTGAAAGTAATTTTTCCTTGGATCATCAAAAGAATCAATCAGTAAATTGCTTACGAGAATATCGACAAATTTTGCAAAGTTGTTATTATATTATGTTTAAGTATTCTGCATAATTATTTTGATGATATCCAATAAGATTGGATTTCCAAATCTGTGCCTGATCAAATTTTTATGCTTCAGCAAGACCGCGTGCACAAATTTTGTCGTGTCTATCTATGAGGCTCCATTTTTTAGATTTCATTATTAATTTAAATGCACAACCAGTTTTGCTGAAATATCTAAAAAAACTTTGATTAGATATAGATCTAAAAATAATTTTATTAGACTATCAAAATTATTATGGGTCGCTTCAGCATAATGATAATATTGTAAAAATGTTTAATATTTTGGCAATTTGAATGTCGTATATAAATATTTTGATCAGCTCGACAAAATTATTTTCAGATCTGCATTTTTAGATATTTTGGCAAAAGTTTTTTCTATCAAAATAACGCACGATTTTATAAGAATCCGTAATATACTTTGCTCAGAATTAATTATATTACTGAAAACCGGTTGCTTTAATGACATGATACATTCTGAATGAAGTGGAAGGTCTGGAAAATGATTATAATAATTGGGGCTTGACTGTCTCAGTCTGGTTATCGTCATGGTGAGATAATTAACTTCCTCAATCGTTGATGTCTGTCATTATGCATTTAATTGAAGCAATTCCGTTCATTATAAACATTCAGTTGACAGTTTCGATTCGTATATTTAAAGTGCATACCTGACAACGCAGAATTAGCTTGTTAATTTATTAAGCTTTCATCGAAATTTTAATAAAACGCTAAAGTATAATCAATGAGATATCGTCGATCGTTATATTGAATTAATTGATCCCTCGCGGGATCCGGAGGTTTCGCTCGCGGTATCTTCTGTTGCGCGATTCGTATTGTCAATTCAACGATTTAGCTCTTTTGTAGGCGCGGTGAAACTCGCGCCGTGTTCTCCACAATGGAAAATGACGGGTCAGGAGTTCGCCACGCGAAAATATCCGTAATCAAAGATCCGCGATAGCCAAATATGAGGGCTGCGAGATCGTTTTAACAACCGGTTGGGATGAACCCGACGTCGCACGGGGAGTAGCATTTGTTCTTCTTTCATCTCGCGATAGTAATTTCTTTCCTAGTATCGCATATTTATGCGACTTTCGACTTTTTCGCCGCTGATTAATTAGCATTTCTGCAATTACATTCTGCGACGGAGAGTTACTTAACAGCGTGTCTATATAAATCACCGTCGACGGTGACACGTGTCAGATGGAGGAGATTCTCGGTCGGTGAGTTTCGAAAGTGAAACCGACGTCAAAAGCGGGCAAAGTGAATCAGCTCTATCGGTCCGGACTATTATTAAGAGATGCGACACCTGCGCGACTTCGGCACATCCCTCCCGTTTTGCACCGCGGCCTGCGAAGATTGATGAAACGCTGGACCAATACGGGAGGATTGGCGCGTCACGGGTTTAGAAAGTTCCCAAAGTTGCCTACGTTCGGTACGTGTCATGCCCCTCCTGTTATTTTTACTGACAGCATTCCGCGAGTTTACGGCCGCGGAGGTGTGCCGTATTCGGTGTTTATGTGTGACTCGAAGTGAACAAAAGGCCTCATGAACATTCTAACGATCTTACGCCTCCGCCGTTCGCGCGATGAATATACTCCGTTTCCGTGAGGGGACTACGGCGAACTGAATCAGCCATTCAAGCGAGAGGAGATCAGCCGACAGCTGGGACACTTTCGTCGCGTCGTCGTAGCGGCGATAGTTAAAACGTGACGATTCACCGTTTTATTATGTGTAAATTACATGGGGAAGGCTTACAGACGTCTAACGGGCTTTCCCCGTACGCGTCAAGTGCACATCGGCATTTAAGCGGGTCCCCGTTGCAGTCGAGGAATACATAATTTGTTTTAATCCTTGACGTTCGCGTCGTTGACCCGGGCGAAGTTCGTCCCTCTCGTTTGTCTCCTCTAGGCGCGGTGGAACTTTCTTTACAAATGTCAGAGGTACAGCCCTCGTGTAACGCGGCTCGGTCGACGCTTCTTCTCTCTCTCTCTCTCTTTGTTTACGCACACTTAAGAACATTTAGCGCGCGAGGAATCCACTCATTTTCTCCACGGGGGGTTTCACGGTTGACAAGGAGTTATGGTTGACAGTATGTGAATAACCACTCCTCCTCTCGTCTCGCCGAGTCTTACTTTACGACCCAGCGAAAACGGAATTTCCTCGACGCGCCTGCTAACGTGTCACACCGAAGCTCCCACCGCGCGGCGATTTGACGGATCGGGGAATGAAAGTTCAAGACTCGCAAATCGCTTCTGATGGGTGGGCCTCTACGGCCTCTCCGGGGGCGTAGTCGTTCGTGCCATCTGGATGGATTACGTGGCCGATCCGTTTGAATAAATTCCGCGCGAGAAACGGATCGCGATGCCTTTATCCCCGAGGCGGATCTAATAATGATGCCTTAATAATCGAACGAAAATCAAATACCGTTGTCCGAAAAGTCTCTCTCTCTCTC